CCTTCAGCACTGCCTCAAGACCTAAGAGCTCCCCGGAGTAGACTACTTGGCACTCTGTGGGCAATTTAAAGGACCCAAGGCTCCAGATGCTCCCACTGCTGCAGTAGCAGTGGTGGCTGAGAGCCCCAGGTTCTTATGAATCATTGGGCCATGGGGCAGTTGCCCCCTTTGCCACCCCTTGTCAGTGGGCCTGCCCCTTAACCTGGTCTGTATTAAACTAAATAGATGGAGCTCCTTGAGTCTATCAGTATAGTACTTGTTTTCTATTTCTGTAATCACTCTTGCAGCTCTTCTCTGAAACCTTTCCAATTTATCAACATCTTTCTTGAATTCTGGACAGTATTCCAGCAATGGTTGTACCAGTGCCAAATACAGAAATAAAATAACTCCTCTATTCCTATTCAAGAGACTTCTGTTTATGCATCCCAAGATCACATTAGCTTTTTTGAGCTCCCCAAGTGTGAACCTCGGAATTCAGTCTTCACTGCCTCATACTTCTGAGGGTACATCTATACTGTGATTTAAAAAAACCAAACAAACCTGCAGAGTGGAGTCTCCATTCCTAGTTCAGCTGACATGGACTTGTGGGTCTCAAAATTGCAATGGAGACACTCAGGCTCAGCCAGGGAAAGGATTGGAAAGGAACAGTACTTTCTTTGAAGTACTGGTCACTTAGTGCTGCTATGCAACCCTTACTTACACTGACAAGTGCATATTCATTCATGTACTCCCACTGGCAAAATTCAAAAGTACTAGAACATGAAAGCCCTGTCTCAAGCAGTTGCTTCACTGACCAAGAGGAGTGGCTGCATTAAAAAGCCTTTCTTGTGGGTGGGTGAACAACTGCAGGAAGAGCCTGCTGTGGAAGTCCTTGGGAATGGTACCAAGACTGCAGAGAAGAGTAACCAGGGTCTGCAGCCAGGAAGGCGCAGCTAATAAGGAAAAAAGGGAAGGGAAGAAGACAGGTCAGGAGCAACACCACCCTCAGAACTGACAAGCTGAGAAGAGTCCTCATGGACATAGGGAACCCAAGACCTGACACATTTCCCAGCAGGGAATGAGACTCCTAGCACATGAGACCTAAGAAAATTCACACATCCAGTAAGAAACCAGAAAGTTCCACTGCACTGAGTGACTTAATTGAAGACCCCTAACATGGGAGCTGAGACCCCAGAGGATGCATTTACTATTTGATGGAAGGCAGGCTGTATTCTACCATTGCCATCTACTGAAAGCCAGATGAAATATGGGGAAAGGCGAGAGAGAGGAGGTTGCTGTTACTGAGGCAGGTGATGACTAAATGATGAACAAAGGATTTTGCAGTAGGAATGAAGATGAAAGGACCAGTATATGATTACATGGCTAGATTTTTGTTTTAATTCATTTTGTGCCCACACACTTTCCTTTTACACAGTACTAATAATCATGGAACGTATGTTTGCTTCTGTAAATCAGTACAAACCCTGTAAAAATTACCTTGGAAAATCATTTGAAAATATTAACCTTTTGTTTTAGTATTTAGTATTTAATAAATGTAGTTAACAAATGTAGTGACATATTTTTTACTGCAGCTCATACCTCTGGGCCCAGTGGGAGACAAGAGATGGGGGCATTTCAACAAAAGCAATGAAGACACTCTACTCACCCATTGCATTTTTTACTTCAAACAGCATCCAATGTGGATCTGGGAAAAGCCACTGTGCACAGTCAACAGCACACTCTTCTGCTGTGCTGACTTGGGACAGGATTATTTCTATATGTGGATGATTTCTGTGCAGGGGCAGAGTTTCAGTAATATTCTCAACTGAGGCCAAGAAAGACTTTTAGCCACCCATAGAACCAATAATGAGCACATTCTATAGCACTGAATTGGTACTTGGGGATCTGTGTTCTCCTCCTGGCTATTCCATGAGGGGTGACCTTTGGCAACCCACTTAACATCCCTGTGCTGCATTTTCCTCGGTAGAATGGAGCTAACGATACTTAGCTTCTTTGTGAAGCACTCTGAAATCCATGGACTGAAAATGCTATAGAAGAGTATATTATTAGTAGTAGTAGATTCTCCAAATCCTAAAACAGAATAGGAATATTTAGAGATTAGTTTTGGAAGAAAATTAGTTCACCTAAACACTTTGCCAATTATCCATAAACAGGTTGTGATTTTTATGAATTTGTGCAGGGGTTCTCAAACTTTGTTATACCGTGACCCCCCTCTAAGTTGCTCGCAACCCTCCAGGGCATCAGGACCCACAGTTTGAGAAACGCGGAATTTTTGTATTGTTTACAGTTATTTGACAAACAGGCAGAATGGTTATATTTGTGAGGTGCATTTGTAATGAATTTTGTACCCTGTAACACAAATTGGGGTGTTATGCATAAGAAATATAAGAAACATTTGAGAAACAACAGTTGGGGGGAGGGCTGGCACAGCTTTATTAAGATTTGCTACCTGTCTCCTTGCTCTTGCATGCTGGGCACTGCTGAAGTGAAAAGAATTGGTTCAGAGACATTTTATATATCCTTCCATCATCTGAAAAAACTTCAACTAGGTCACCAGAGAATTTTCACTTCTCCGAAGAGACTTAGCTCATTTTCTCCAACCTGTCCTTGTGACTTCAGATTGTGTGATCTAGTATTATCTGCTCAGTTCCCAGAAGGACAATTAGATGAACTGTTAAAAGAGGGCTTTTAAACTGACTCAGAGATAGGACAGAAATGTACTTAGTCTATTTCCATTGCTATAGCTGAAGATCCTTATGTTATTATGTTGACTTTCTTTCCTGCCAGCGTTTCTTCCTGCCTGACACTTCAGTGATGATGTAATTGTTTTGGTATTGTTATGGTATATGATTTAATCACAGTGAAGAGTGAATATACTCAAAATCTAGAGGTTTTAAAAAAAATGTATACAAAAACTGAATTGGGCCTATATCACTCTATAGTTCAGCCTGGGAAATACTCATTATGGCACATCTCTATGTTTGTGCTGAATGGTGCATAGCCAGCTCATCTCTAGGGTGGAGGGAGGAGCAGAATTCTGCCAAGAACATCCTATTTGTTCTTGGGAAGCATGCCCATTGCTTCTCCCTTTCAGAGGCTGCAGCATAATCCCTTTGACATGGCCAGACTGCTTAGGACCTACACTTGTTGTCCCCTGGTTGCTCCTGGGTGTCAAGAGAAGGGAGTTTTCCCTCTTACATGCCTTTAGGAAAGCCAGACACATTCTTCTTTGAGTGATGGCAAGTGTGCGTTCCACTATTGGTGTCAGTATACTCTGTGCATAATAGTTGGATCCCATGAGTTAAAAGGGACTTAGGCTCATTTTTATACATGTCTGAGATTCATGCAAATCTGAAAGCTCAACATGAATCTTGTTTTATTTTCACATATCCAGTTCTTCCCTCATTCTATCCCTCTCCCCACATCCAAATCCTCTAGAAATCTCTATCTCCTGCTCAGAGGACCTCAGGTGGTGGGTAACCTGCGAGCTACACATGGGATCTCTATCTCCTGCTCAGAGGACCTCAGGGCAGTGGTGGGCAACCTGCGAGCTACACATGGCTCATCAGAACAAGCTGCTGGTGGGTCACCAGACAGGTTATTTACCTTAAGTCACAGGTAAAGCCACCTATGATTCCCATTGGCCACGGTTCACTGTTCCCAGCCCAGGGGGAGCTCTGGGAAGCCGAAACTACAAGGTGAACAACCTGTCTGGTGGCCTGTCAGCAGCATACCCTGATGAGCCATGTGCAGCCTGCAAATTGCCCATCACTGCCTTAGGATGCTCCTTCTCAACCCATTTCCTCCTGTTGAAACATTGTGTATGTGACCTTTGAAGAACAAGCAACAAATGGGTATAATGAATCTATTGTGGTTTTCATTGAAATCCCCGTTCACGTTAGTGGAAACAAGGCCCAGCGTTTACAATACTAAGGCCTGATACTAACAAGGTTTGGAATGCTTTCAACACCTGTGGAAGCTGAAGGTACTCAGCCCTTTGCATGATCATGCCCTTAGAGAACAAGACTGTATTTATTCAGACAGGCTCGTGAACTGTTCTTGAATGTCTCTTTCTCTCACTCAAATGGTGCAATGATCTAGTTCATAGAAACACATGGACTCCCTTCTCAGAAGTGGTTTTTTCTGTTAAAGGAACACTGTTTCCTTTGGGAGAACTCAGCATTTAAGTGATACATATAATTTCCTGAGTAACCCTACAATAACAAATGAAGAGGGAGCAAAATATTGTATGAGAAAACACATTTCAGTTTCAAGATTTCCAGACTTTATTAACAGAGAATAAAAGAAGATGTTCCAACAGTTTGTATTCATCACTAATGTGCATGATTCTGTAATTCAGGCTAAAGGCATTCAGTAGCATTTTAATGGCTATGTATTTTAAGAATTTCTGTAAGATATTCAGTACCAGACATTGGCAATTCTCCAGGATTTTTTTCCAAGGGACAATGAAACTACATAAGCCCCCCCCCCCCTCAAAATGTTCATGTCAATTGTTAAATGCATCCTACAAATAAGAAGCCTGAAGAACTAGACACTAGATTTTTAATTAAACATTGAGTTTGCAAGCAATTGCTGGATATGTAAAAAAGGTCCTACTGCATACATAAGGACCAAAGAAGCAATATAGATTGAATAACACTAAAAAAGATTTCAGCTCTTCTGGTTTGTCGCATATAAAACTCTCACTGATGATAGGATTTTGTTACCATTGGCTGGTTGTATTGACTGTTATATTAGAAGCTTTGATGGGATTAAGTTAAAGTAAAAAGAAATGCCAGTAACAAATTCTCTTGCATTTTTTCTTTTCGTTGGCGGTCCAGCGAATGTGAGACTGTCTTGCTGAATAAAGCGAGTCTGAAATCTATAAATGAACAAGGGGTCTTGAACATGCAGTAATTTAAGGTTATCAATTCACTGCACATACTTTTTTTGACATGTGCTTCCTGCCTGATTTTCTAACAATTCTTTATTTTCTGCAGGTGGCCGTGATAAACGAGGTGGTCCTATCCTGACCTTTCCAGCACGCAGCAATCATGATAGAATAAGGCAGGAAGACCTTCGGAAACTTGTGACTTATTTGGCCAGTGTGCCAAGGTAAAGCTAAAAAGAAAACACTTCAAAGCTGGGGGTGGATGAGTGGGTGGGGGAATTTGTTCTTGGCGGTTGATGATTTCCACGTATTAACCTTTTAGTTCCATTTTAGTACTTGGAATGGGGAAAAATGTGTGCTCTAGTTGCTTTCCTCCAGTGAGATATGATGCAAAAGAATGAGAGATTAAAGGTGGCCCTAATAAAGCTGGGCTTTTGCAGTATTGCTTGCACTGTTTCCAGAATTTCTTTTAGGCTGTTATAGAGGGATTAAAGGGGGGTGAAGCCTTGATTCAGCTTCTTGGAAGTTTATGTGTGGAGTTCTTTATTAGTTTTGAGGGAGCCTTTGTCTGGCATTGCCTTTTAATACTTTCATTGCCAGCTTCAGAGAAACTGGTGCAGGGAGGAATAATTCTGTGTGTAGGAGAGAAGGGACTCACTCAGTTCAGGGTAGGCAGTATTTCTGCTGCAACACCATCTTGCTGCTTCTGCTGGGACGCTTGCATGCCCAAGCCCCGCCTAATTTCTCCCTGCTATTGAGGGAAGGTACTGAACCTCCTGTGAGTTCTTGAATATTGACTATACCCCTCTTTAGCAAACTCCCCCATTCTTCTGGATTTGGTGACTAGATTCCCTCTACTCCATCCAGACTAGAGGAGGCTGATGCTGCTTCATGTCTTTGCAGCCTTGTCCCTGATGAAGTTTCCAGCATAGGCAGGCATAAACTCTGCACTCAATCCAGTCTTGTTTTGGTTTCTTGGCAGGTTAGAAATCCTGACATGCATATCTGCAGGAGGATTTAGTTTACTTTCTCAGGTTGTTGATTGAACTAAGAGCCCCAAGTTCTTCTCATCTCCAAAGATATAAGTACTTCTTAGGATGGAGGCACATCTACTTGGAGTGATAGGGCTTTTATCCTCTCCCTATTCTGAAATCAATACAGTCCCTCCTCAAGGGTCCTGATCCTCTGTCCTTTCTTAAAACATGACTTCTTGTAGCCTAAACACTCTGCTTCACTATCTTTTTTTTTTCTAAAGTAAAAAATCCAGAATATGGATTATCTTGCCTTCCTTCTAGGAGAGACGACCAAAGTTTCTTTCTCGTCTAGGAGAAAGAAGCTACTTCTCTCCCACTGTGATGTATCCCAGTTCCAATCTCCCACTTACTAGTCTTAGAGGAGTAGACATATTAGTTAATATCTGCAAAAAAAACCAAGGATTCCTGTGGCACCTAAGAGACTTAACAGATTTAATAGGGCATAAGCTTTTGTGGGTAAAGCCTACTTCATCAGTTCGCAAAGGTCTCACAAAGATTTTTCCCTCACAGGCAATTTCCCCTCTCTTGGTATTCATGCCTCCTTATCAGGTGCTACATCTATCCTGATTCAACTGGCCTCGTTAACACTGGTTCTGTACTTCATAAGTAACTTCCCCATATATCAGTGGTGTGCAAAAGGGCCTCCACGGGATGGATCCGGCCTGCCAAGTGGGTTGATCTGGCCCGCAGAGGCCCTGCCGCTCCTGCACCCTCAGACCAATTAGGATCTGGGGGCGGGGGAGAGCGTGAAGCTTTCTCCTGACCTGCCAGGAGCACGCGGCACTTTGAAGTGCCATGTGCTGCTCACGGGGCGGGGGAGACGTCACACGCTCCCTTGCTCCCAAGCCCTGATTGGTCTGGGGGCTGGGAAGCTGCACAAAGTTTCCTCCACCCTCCCCCCGCCTTGCAAGGAGCACGCAGCACTTCAAAGTGCCACATGCTCATGCAGGGCAAAGGACACTTCGCACAGCTCCCCTAGCCCCAGGCCCTGATTGGCCTGAGGGCGGGGGAAGCGTGTGACACCTCCTCCCACCCCGCAAGGAGCGCATGGCACTTTGAAGTGCAGCGTGCTCCTGGCAGGAGGGGAGGGTAGGTTTGGAGGAGGCTTCACGCGCTTCCCACCCCAAAGCCGTGATTGGCCTGGGGGTGGGGGAGCAGGCGAAGCCTCTTCCCGCCCTGCCAGGGAATGGGTACCTAATGGGAAGGGGGGCAAAAGGACATTCTGTCCCCTCCCCTTCCAGTTTAAGTGTTTAGGCCCCGCCCCTTCCAGGGCAGCCCGGGACTACTTCAAAAAATTTTGAAGTGGCCCCCAGCTAAAAATTATTGCCCACCCCTGACATATATATATATATATATATATATATATATATATATATATATATATATATATATATATATTACACACCTGCCTCTGTAACTTCTACTCCAATTCATCTGATAAAGTGGGTTTTACCCATAAAGCTTATACCCTAAGTGCCACATTCTTCATTATTTTTCTCCCACTGACTGTGAGGGAGCTATATTTAACAGTAATCTATCTCCCTCTGGTGGTGTTCCAGCCCACCTTGCTCTTGGAGCTCTGCCTTGGGGTTATAAACAGAGTTAGCATTTTGGGTTTCTCTCACAGGCCCCAAATTGCCTCCCCTAGTACACATCAATGACTGTGTCATCTGTCCCACAGATTATGCCTATAAAGGAACAGTTTGGAACAAGTAACTGCTGGCCTTCGATGCTTCCCTGAGCAACCTTAAAGAGATGGTACCATCCATTTATAGGACTCCTTAGGAGTGCTAAAGGCATGTCCGCATCCATGAGAATGGGTGCAAAACTTTGCCATCTCCTGCTCTCTTCACCCCATTCATCACAGCTCCTCTAAAGTATGCCATCTGATAACAGCCTCATATGAGTCATTACATCAGCCAGAAATTACTGGAGTGCAAAGTGCCCTTTCCACTGACCTTGCCCTGCAACATCTTGACAAACCTCTGGTCCAAGGAAGGTTTGACCTAGACAGCCATCATACCCACTCTCTGCTGGCTAGGAATGCCCCCTTTCCCAAAGCCAGGTTCTTGCTAATGGAATATAATTTGTATTACAGGCAGTCCCCGAGTTACGCGGATCCGACTTATGTCGGATCCACAGTTACGAACGGGGCCCTCTCCCTGGTCTCCAGCAGACCAGGGAGAGGAAGCAAAGCGGCGGAGCACGCGGACAGCGGACAGCCCAGACGCGTCTGGGCTGTCCGCTGTCCGCGTGCTCCGCCGCTTTGCTTCCTCTCCCTGGTCTGCTGGAGACCAGGGAGAGGGCCCCGTTCGTAACTGTGGATCCGACATAAGTCGGATCCGCGTAACTCGGGGACTGCCTGTAATACAAATTATATTCCATTAGCAAGAACCTGGCTTTGGGAAAGGGGGCATTCCTAGCCAGCAGAGAGTGGGTATGATGGCTGTCTAGGTCAAACCTTCCTTGGACCAGAGGTTTGTCAAGATGTTGCAGGGCGAGGTCAGTGGAAAGGGCACTTTGCACTCCAGTAATTTCTGGCTGATGTAATGACTCATATGAGGCTGTTATCAGATGGCATACTTTAGAGGAGCTGTGATGAATGGGGTGAAGAGAGCAGGAGATGGCAAAGTTTTGCACCCATTCTCATGGATGCGGACATGCCTTTAGCACTCCTAAGGAGTCCTATAAATGGATGGTACCATCTCTTTAAGGTTGCTCAGGGAAGCATCGAAGGCCAGCAGTTACTTGTTCCAAACTGTTCCTTTATAGGCATAATCTGTGGGACAGATGACACAGTCATTGATGTGTACTAGGGGAGGCAATTTGGGGCCTGTGAGAGAAACCCAAAATGCTAACTCTGTTTATAACCCCAAGGCAGAGCTCCAAGAGCAAGGTGGGCTGGAACACCACCAGAGGGAGATAGATTACTGTTAAATATAGCTCCCTCACAGTCAGTGGGAGAAAAATAATGAAGAATGTGGCACTTAGGGTATAAGCTTTATGGGTAAAACCCACTTTATCAGATGAATTGGAGTAGAAGTTACAGAGGCAGGTGTGTGCCTGTACTACAAACCCTGCAAAATAATACAAGGAGGGAAAAAATATAATTTCCATGACCATCAAGAGTTTTTGAAAAATGCATAAAGATTTATACATTGTTCCAATGATTATGAGTCCTCATCTTTGCTCCTAGTACTTGAGTGTTTAGGTATCTTTCTGAGACCACCCCAATTAGGGGGCAGATATGCCTCCAGAGCAGCATGCAACTTTAATTTCCTGCCTGGGGACATAATTTCATATGGCATCTGCCTGGGTTTCTTTTGTTGTTGGTGGTGGTTTTTTCTTTTTTTTCTTTTACTCATCAAGCCTTTTATTTACACTCTGCTTGATCCCTCTCTAGCCAGCTTAATTTGTGACCATTTTGTATGGAAGATTATGGATATGCTAGGGGTTGAGAGGGCAGTAGGTCATCCAGTGTGAATGAGTGTCTAATTGCTTTGCAGTTGCCCTCCCGATACTGTCATAATAAAGCTGCTGCCTTATATGTTATCATTTCTTGCATGAGTCATAGCTATCAAGATATGGCATTGCCTCCTTTCCTTGAGATCAATGCTGCCAATAATTGCACTGTTAAAATTGCGTTTTAGCTCACCTGGTCTTTATCTGTAGTTTTTCCCTTGTACTTGTAGCACAAGCACCCAGGATATATGCTCTGGGTTTGCCCTCTTATACAAGTAAGTCAATAAAGCAGTATCTGGCTGCTCGTTTAGGTTGCCTCTCTCTTGGATGTTTCAGCTACGTGCAGTTTTTGAGGTTTGGTATTGCCTAGCATGTTAACTAGGAATGAAGAAGCTGAAAAAGCTCTAGCTACCACAAAACACAGCAGTCTGGCTGCTAAGCAACATGAATTATTGTGAACACATTACCTATTCCAGCTCTCCTCTGTACTGGCTCCCTATTAAACAGAGTCCAATTCAAGGTTTCTATCCTGATCTTTAAAGCCTTTCCTGGGGTTGGTCACAGTTATAGAAGAGAGCCTCTGCAAGTGCAATATAAAACTGGTAACCAGCAGGAGTAGGTCTCTGAAAGGAGTATACAGAAGGAGCTGTGCCTAGATTATGAAACTGATTCCTGCAAGAGTTAGAAATGACCTTGGGCATTGTCAGATTCAAAGCTAAGGATGTTAA